TTACGAGGTAATTTTCGACATTTGGGTTTGTCTGAGTAGGGTTGCAACATGTGAAGGTGTCCGTAAGTTTTCTATTCCGTTGTGGTAAATTAACGAAGTCAGGAATTGAGCGAAGAGGAGTAGCAGAAGATCCTCGAGAATTCCAAAGGTTACAAGAGGCGTGGAGGACAGTCAGTGCTTTCAACCATTTTATACAATGACTATGATTAGCAAAACGAAATTTTCGAAGGCACTAAGTTTGATTATTTATTCACCAAACTTTCCATGAGAAAGAGTCCACTATTTGAGGCTAAGAGATTGAATCTAAGTTCTCGCACGAACTGCTATGACAATTGAAGTGTAATCCAGGAAGTCGAGATTTTCTCAAAAAATTCGACATCAACGTATTAGGTGTAGAAATGACTGTATTCGCATAATCGCTTCAAATCCACCGAATTTCAGGAAAAATAGGAAATAAAAAGGAAATTTCAAATAAAACTTGGATCGTCCCGAAAAATTCGTAGAAAATTCATTTCTACACCTAGCAGACGCAACGGTATCTCATCTATCGCAGGAAAAGGAGGTCGTAGAACGCGCGACGCGAATCGATCATCCCCGAGGATGCCGAAAAATTCGCATCTGGTACCGTGAGTGTCGGTTTCACGACTCTCGATTCCTGTCTTACACAGGGCGGCTGTCAGTTCGAGTCATGTCAAACGTCAAACGACTTTCTCTGTCCCTTGGGGACCGGCTACTGTCGCGGACCAAGCGGTTGGATTCCACTCGTCGGGGCCTCGAGACGAATTTCACCGGTCGTGCAAAAAAAGTCGAGCGGGGCTGGAGGAACGCGAAACGATTGGAGAGCGCCGGAACGAATCCGTTCACGGCCGACGACTCAATCCGACGGTAGGTATCCGCGAGAGGCCCGCGACGCGTATTAATTGCGGGCCACGGCGCGTGTAATTAGTTTCGTTGCACGATTATATCGGACGATGCAGGCTGATATCGAGAGTCGCGCGCTAGCCGCACACCGGACTCTCTAATTATTGATATCTGGGTGTGATTAAATAGGAACGATACGGATCGAGTGGACGAATGTTACGGTTCCTCTGTGCTCGCGCGGTTAATTGCTAGGGAATGGAGGATTTGAGGAGATTAGGGAGTATTTTGAGGCAAATTTCGATTGGTGTGACTCTGAGGACGGTTGCTGGAGGATTGCTTAAACTGCTAATCGAAGCTTCTAAATTTCAGCTGTGACTAATTATCTTTAATTTCCAACGTTTCGCAAGAATTCAGAGGACGTCAAATTGAATAATATTGAGTTGAGTCATGAGGAATGTCGCCTTTTTCGTAAGTTTAAAAAAATTATTTGTCTGAGAGTGATTGCTCGAACTGCTAATCGAAGCTTCCAAATTTGAGCTGTGACTAATTATCTTTAATTTCCAACGTTTCGCAAGAATTCAGAGGACGTCAAGTAGAAAAATATCGAGTTGAGTCATAAGCAATGTCATCTTTTGGCTAAATTTTCAAAAATTTTGATCCGAAAGTGATTGCTAGTGTCTAATTATTTTTTAATTCCAAAGTTTCGCCAGCATTCAGAGGGCACCAATTGAATGATATTGCACCGAGTCATAAGTGAAGTCATCCTTTTTATAAATCTTCAAAAATTTTGGTCTGACAGTGATTGCTAGAGGATTGCTTGAACTGTTAATCGAAGCTTCTAAGTGTGAACCTTGACCAACAATTTATTATTTGTGGACGACTCTAAAGGCGATTGCTAGAAAATTGCTCGAGCTGTTAACCATGTCTAATTATTTTTCATTTCCGAGCACTGAAAGGACATCGGTCGAATTATAAGTCCATAACCGTGTAAGTGTTAAAAAAGTACGTATATAGGCTGTACAGGCTACGCGTGTTGGTTTATCAATTAATAACAATATAATGGAACGATGCGGGATGGGTGGTACCGAATGAATAATAAATGAACGCTTTATATAATTTATACACGACGAATACACGATAGCCCTTCGTTCCTTTAATTACAGAAGACATAAATACACGTCTCAATAAAATTGCTGCCACTTGGGCAAAAAGTGAACGGATGGACTGGTTTGTTGTTCGTAATTGAAAGATTCGCCATGCAAATTTATACATCAAATCTCCAACAATTTCTCTATATATCAATAATCCTTCCCTCATACTATTCTACACGCAAGCATAACAGTTTATTACTGTATTTTAACAATACCGTTATCCCTGCATAAACCATAAAATCCATCATATCCACATTTGAAGTAACCAATTTCCACTCGTTTCCAATTAAAACCCACAAAAACTCGTCAAACATTTCTCCTCCTAAAAAATTTCCCTTACAAAAAAATACTAACTACAAATAGCCACATATCGCACTAATTTCTAAAAAATTCCACCATCCTACGCTTCTCAAAATTAAGCAACCAAAGTTACCGGAGACCAAGCACCATCCTCAACACCTCGTACTCAACTCTGTTCCATGTTCGATCGAGAAGAATTCCCCGGTTTGAGTGACACCCCCTAATGAACTCAATTAGTTAGTCGAACGAGTTGACCGTTCAAAGATGCATAGCACTGGTACCGGCGTTGCAATCTCCCCGCTCAGCTTCCATTGAGACATCGGAAATCTTAATTGCAAGCGGCCACGAAGAAGAAAGAAGGAAGCTGCAGCGAAGAAGGGTGTTGCTCGAAAGGGGGAGTTGGAGAGTGCGTGGAAAGAGAGAGAGAGAGAGAGTGAGGCGGCTAGAGGGATCTTCTTCATCGACGGGGCAAAAGACGTTCGAGGCAAAACGGTCGTAAATCGTGGCAGGCCAATGGGACGTGGCGATGGTACGTTCACGTGGCCACGATTGGCGGCACTGGCCAAAGCATCCGGTTCCAGCCAGCTTGTCCAATCCCTGGTGTGCCCTCCAAGCGATTACCTACGTAGCCTCAGCCTGATCGCTCATGCTAATTTCATAACAACTACCCTTGCGCCAATGGGCGAGCCAGCCATAGAAAAGAGGGAAAAACGACCGAAGGGACCAGGGGACCGAGGAAATAAAAAGGAGATGGAACGAAGAGAGAGAGGAGAAAAAGGGAGAATCTAAAGGTCCAAACCTCCATTCCTGGTGAAGAGGCAACGAAAGCCGCCTATTTCGTTCCTCGCAGCCGTACGTCCGCGCAACGAGCTCGCCTCGTAAAATGGAGAGCTCATCTCGAACGTGGTGGATGAGTTTGGTACCGACGAGGGTGGGCGACCTGTTTCGACTGTGTTGGTTTTTTTTCACACGCGTTGTCATCGCGGCTGGAAGTCGTGACCGTTTAAAATTAACTCGCGTACTCAGGATTTATCGGGGCGAACACCGGCACACCGTCACGCGAGCTTATATCAGCGCGAAAACGTTACTTACGTGCTGGCGACGTGTCCCCTCTCGAGAACACCGTCCCCGATTTCACCCCTTTGAATCTTCCTTCTCCTCGCGCGGCTCTATCGCTGAGAATGATTGTCGCTCGGTCTTACAAATCTCGACGATCGACTGAACAGAAAAATTCAATCTTTTCTTAAATTTGCAATAATTGATAAACTGAATAGTAGAAATCGTCTAGATGACGATACTTCAAAAGCTGAGAAAATCCTGAGAGTACGAAACGGAAAAATGGACGACTTCCGGGCAGACTAGGCGACCCAACGAAATTAGCGAAAGAGAGGAAGGGAGAGTTAGAGAGCGAGGTGGAAGTATTATCGACGGTGAGTTCGTAAAAGGGGTGTGGCAATAATATTTCGCGTTCTGCAATTTTTTGCCCGACCGATAGTTCCATTCGGGGCTCATCGACGACTCGTGGTGCGCCACTGGCTCTACCCGGTTCCGCCGTGGGTATTAATTCCGGGAGAGACGGAGAGCCTCGAACGGAAACAGAAGAGGGAACGAGGAGGTGAGACGAGGCGGAGGGGAACGTACGGAACAAAACGATGCAGAAGACCATCTATGAGATGAGAAAATAATAATAAAGTGGAAATGAGCGAGCCGGTCCATAAATTGCTCCGCTCCTTGTTAATGGTCTGGGGGCCCGGGGCGACCTCAGCTAAACGTGGCCCGGTCTGACCCGGCTCTCTCTTTCTCTTCTCCTTCTTCGTTGCTCATTCTTATTTTCTGCCGGTTGGTTCTTTTCCTACGATGGTCGAGGCCCTGGCCAGAGAGAGGAGAGATCTGGTCCGACCCGTTCGAGGCGCTCTTCGAAGGCTCATTTCTGTATTTAATGGACGTCCAGAGATGGCCACCGAGTCCCTGAGCTCCCGAGAGCCAGAAAGAGGGACCTTAAAAGGGTCCGGAGGACACAAAGGATCCACGTCGATGCTCGGTACTGGCTGTGATTGGCGACCGGGCGTGGCTCTACCGACAGATATCCTGCTTCTCTTTAAACGCCGCTCGATTCGAGGACATGCGAGTGTTGTACCCCCTTTTTCTTCCTCTTCTTCTTTCAGCAGCCCTGAAGGGTCTCGGAGACGCGGGGATTGTCTTTAGAGAAATTCCTACGATTTTTTTTCAGAGTTCTTTTTTTGAGAAATTGTTTTCTAGGTTATAGAGGTGATCGTGGAAATTTTTAGGTGTTCTTGAAAATTGATTTTTTTTATGAGAAAGAGAAGATGGTGTTAATATAGACGGATGAAATGCAATTTGAACGTATGAAATGTTGTGTTTAACAATTAGGTTTGCAAACTCTTTTCGAACTTACTTGGCCAAATTTTTCTTCTTTCATTTTTTGTGCTGGGAATACTTCGTTCTCTTGCCGGCAGAGGGCAGAAGCGATCAGAGAGCACCTCGTACTGCCATCTCGTATAGTCTGCTGGAAACAAAGTAGATATATACTAGATTCGTGATACCTACCGAAGAGATTTGTTACCGTACTTACGAACGATACGTAAGGTCACTTTCAACGTAATTGCTGTAAAATTATATTTCTCGAGAGGTAAGAATAATAAGATCGCGTTCCAAAAAAATTGAGTATTATATTAAATTCGCAAATTTTTTTACAAGATTTCTGTAAAAATCGAATATATATTGGCTAGCTTGTTTACATTTGTCTATTGCTTCTAGAAATTCTTCCTCCGTGAAACGACCAGCGGTATAACAGCATATGACGTCCTTTTTCATACTGTCGAAGGCAAACGTGAATTCGGCTTTGGAATCCTAAAACAGACGAATGATAATTCAAGCATTTCTTCCTTTCTTCAGGAACATGTGTGAAAATTTATTTACACACCTGCAATTGAACACTGTCTGGATCTAGTATGAAATTTCCAGTAGCTTCCTCTATCATGCAGTTAACTGCTGCAATAGTGAATTTCATTGGAATTCCTGCATTGATAAGAGCCAAACAGGTTGCATTGATTGTGCAAGCTAATAGCTGTGGAATTAATTTTTATTCGCCGATTTAACCTACGAGTGGTCTTAGAGTTTTGAAAATGCGTATAAAATAATCCTTACCCCACCAGAATCTTCTAACTCTTGTATGTTAATGCATATAGCTGTTGCTGGATGGAATGTGACAATTATTGCAGCTTCACATGTTTCCTTTATATACATTTCTGTCATCCTGTCATCCACCTCTTAATAATTCAAACACTTTACTATTGCGTCGTTAAACAACTAATTTACTTCTAAGTTGGACTTTAAATTTTTTTTCAACTTACTAGCTGGTCCTTTGATTGGAGTATATGTCACCTCAACTGATGCTCTGTCGTACATCATTTTCTGTGGTTTCGGTTCTATTGGTCCATAAATTCCAGCTACAACTGCGGTATTTCCTAAAATATGCAAAAATTAATTTCCATGTTTTCTTAAACAACGTCGTCGGTAATCGAAACTAACCTACCTTGCATCAACATAGCCGATCCATCGGGCATAGAAAGTTGATTCAGTTCGCAGTTTATCGGTCGTAACATGAACTCATTTTCTTCCACTTCCTCATTCATGATTCTTTTTTTGCAACTAACAGCAACACGTTGTTTAATTACGTTTGGCGGGAAACGCACTGTACAGGTTATAATGCTACAAACATTGAAGCACGTGCAGTAACAGTGCGTAGGACTCTAGTTCGTTAAATAGCAACACAAAATTCCCTAGAAAATGCTTCTCTGTATTATCCATAGGAAACAGGGCAAAAAATACTTATTTCGTTAAATTACAAGAAGCAATTTCTCAAACACTAGGCAAATATAAATAATTTTAATAAACACATGCTGTAATCCCCTTTATTAAAACCTTTCAAACATTTATCGATAGGGATACAATTCTTAAAATTACTTATCGATCTTCATATTTTCTTATATTAATCTTAATGAAAGCTCGACGCGAAACATCTTTAAATTAACATTTATCTATCTGTAATATTTATTTTTTATTACGACTAGACTTGACAAACAACTCTTTAGATAAACGACGAAGTACCAGCGATAGATCCCATCTGTTTTACCAACAGATATAAATCTCTACTCTACCGATAATGCAGTCACCTAATTTACTCGTCCTCGTCCTCTTCCTCTTCTTCTTCCTCCGCAGCCACTTCTTCTTCTTCTCCTGTAAACACAAATCAAATACACTCTGTTTAAATAAATGCTCACCGATTCGATCGATTTTACCCATCATCATGACCGGTGGAGGTGGCAAATGTGCGATTCTCCAAGCTTCCTCCTGTTCGAAAGTTGGATCCTGGATCTCCATGATCTCTGGACCGATTTTATACTGATCTTCTACAGGTGGCATGGTAGGCGGTGTGTAATTGTACGCGATGTATTTGTGACCCCAGCCGATGTAAACGTTAGCGAAACGCCTGCGGAGAGACACCATTAAAGTAACATTAGCGTAATTTCCCGGGCATTAATTTTCCTTTAACGCGCCATAATTCCTCTTTTCCCGGTTGATTCGTCCCACGATAAAACCGTCCTCCCCCTTTCTCGCTGTTTCTTCGATATCCCACGGGGGAATTTATACTCGTCGACCGCATAAATATCACAGATACGTCTTGCTTAATGGAAAATCATTATTGAATACACGGGGCTTCGAGTGCACGCACCTTCCGCAGGCGAACCCGAACGCTCCGGGCCAAATGTTCGATCTAATTAACGCGACAGCCTGATCAGGTTGAACACGGCTGGATTGGCTAATCGTCCATGGGACTATCGAATCAACTATAGCGTCTTCTGACAGTGGAGTTAACATTGGAGGACCAATTTCTCGTTCAACACCAGCTTTTCCTCCTTCTTCCTCTTCTTCTTCTTCCTCGAGTTCCTCTTCAGCACCAAGTTCCTGAATTTATACAATTTTTTTAGTCTACGTGTGATTTCTTATATTGACACGTTCGCTGCCACTGACGCAGCATATGCGTTCGAGAGTGTTATCCATTTTCCGGTGGCAGCGAACGTGTTAATTACTAACTTCTTCGTCCGATCTCGGATTCCACCAAACGATACGACCCTGCTTTAGAATGTACGGTGCATGGTGGCACCAATTTGACATGGAAGGGTCTATCAGGTCCTTCACAGGAACAGGATCGTAGTGCACGTTCTCGGTTAATACTCCGACTGTGTAAGCAATAAAGAGAATAGCGGAGAAGAACTGGTTGGTAAATGAAAGAATTCGGTGAAAAGAAATTTGGTGAAAACAATTCTGGCAAATTTTCTATATTATCTATACTCTTGCTCTCGTTAACATACACTTTACTTACTTAAAATTAAACAAAAACCATCGATGTCTAAGTTTTACAAAATTATTAACTTACATTCTCTACTAATAATTAATCGCGATTTTTATCGACGAAAAATGTATTCATTCTTACCTATATTAAAAATAAAAAAATTCCACTCTGCATATTAGCAAGTTCTAATTCAACAAATTAGGCCTCTTACGATCGCACAAGCGATCCGTATGGACGATTGTTTTTCAATGCGCGCGTTTGAACCGCGGCGGAGAAAGGTTGCTCATCGCTGATTTGTAGCATTGATCTTTCTTCCGAGATTTTTCTACAAGGTAAACGTGAAATGTTACCTTCCTCCATTTCCTCCATCAGCTCCTCCTCCTCGTCGCCGCCGCCAAAAGTGAAGAACCCAATTGGCGAGACTTGGGTGGTCGCGCTAATCCTGGCTATTTGCGCGCGGAGATAATTCTTTTCCGCGCCGGGGAACGGTGGGAACGTGTAGATCTACCAAAACGTAAAATAGATCCAAGTCGTTTTGTTCCACGAATGTATTTTTCACCTTTCTGTGATTTCTTTCGTTCTTTTTTTTTTTGCAAACGGTGGGAACAAACTCATACCGGGGTGTCTAAATTTCCTGTGCAGTAGCGGACAATCTGTCGTGCAATTACTATCTGCCGCGGTGTAACCGGTGGCAGTTCGATCCACTTGTCCATACCGGGCTCGTTGCATACAAAATACACCTGAAACAAAGTCAGCCACCAGGATCACGGAAAATACGGGGCGTGTTTTGCCTCGCATATTAATTCGGCGCAACGTTACAATTTGGATGCTGCCGATGTTTTCCGCGCGTGTACTACGATTCCGCCATTGACTAATTAAACGTTGCATAATGACGTTGCTTCGTTGAATGGGAAAGAGGAAAATTTGACGGCGATGCACTTGTGTAATTTAATATTCGGTATGTTTGTGTTATTGTTAAATGTGACGAGGCGAAGGATCGCAAGTTTCTCTTGCGAAAATTATTAGCGTTGTAATTGGAGATCTTGGACTCTAAGTTTCCTGTTGAGAGGCGGAAAAATTGAACACCTTGGAGTCCAGGTTTCGTGTTAAAAGGCGAAAAAATTGAACTCCTGAGACTCTAAGTTTCGTGTTAAAAGGCGAAAAAAGTGAACAAAGTTTCGTGTTAAAAGGCGAAAAAGTTGAACTCCTGAGACTCTAAGCTTCGTGTTAAAAGGCGAAAAAAGTGAACTAAGTTTCGTGTTAAAAGGCGAAAAAAGTGAACTAAGTTTCGTGTTAAAAGGCGAAAAAATTGAACTCCTGAGACTCTAAGCTTCGTGTTAAAAGGCGAAAAAAGTGAACTAAGTTTCGTATTAAAAGGCGAAAAAAATTAAATATCTTAGACCCTAAGTTTCGTGTTAAAAGACGAAAATATTGAATACCTTAGACCCCCAGTTTCGTATTAAAAGGCGAAAAAATTGAACACCTTAGACCCTAAGTTCCACGTAAATTTTGAAATTAACATATTACAGGGATTTATATACCCCTA